ATGGGTTTGCAAAACAAGATTAGAAACAAGATTAGGTATGTTTCAAAAGAAAATTGATCCTAGAAGAGGATTTCTAAGTATTAAAAAGTATTAGATAACTCTAAATGTAAGCTATTTTTTCTATACTAAAATTACCTCTACTGGTTACTTATCTGAAAAGCTTAAACAACCAATTTTTGTCTTTTTAAATGAGCTTTTTAGGTGTTCTTCTAAATGTTGTACACTAACTCCATATCATTCGTGTATTCTGTGTTTGTGCTTTACTTACTGCAACTTATTTGTAACCCTCACATCTGTATACATGCAGTAGATTTGAGGTCACTTATGTATGCAGAGTGGCAAAAATTTTGAGTGGCCTGACACCCCATGTTCTAATCTGAAGCCTTTTTGTTTCATATTGTAACCAAGTATTTTTGTTGTTTTTTCCCAGTCTGTGTAAGGTCTTCCACATTTTTGCTTCCTGTTGGTGGTTTTGCTATTTAAGGTGATCTTCAAGTGTAGCATTAAAGTGCAATATATTGTTCCTATATACAGAAAGCTATCTGTGATGTGCCTTTGGAGAATATTTGCCACAGTGACTTATAGAATCAGTAACATCAGGGAAATACTTGATTTAAGATTACAAATGTTAGAGAAACTTTGTTCAGGCATGAGTTATAGTGCAGCTGCTCATGAATTCAGTGTTCCCAAATAAACAGTATACATTTAAGTATAAATAAAAACATATAAAACAGTTGAGTATTGATTACTGTTGAAAAAGTTGTGACCAGAGGCTTTCACGAACCTCACATTACTTCCCCTAGGAGTAAAACCATGTATTTCCCTATAACAGTAGTTCGTTGTTTATAGAGACTAGAATATAATGACTGCAAATAAAAAACAGTGACTGTAAGTTAAAATTCTGGACTTTAGAGGCTGGAGAAGATAAAGATAGTACAGCAGTTAAGGTGCTTGCCTTGTATTCGGCTGACACGGGTTCAATTACCAGCATCCCATTTGGTCCCTCAAGCCTACCATGAGTGATTCCTGAGTGCAAAGCTAGCAGTAACCCCTGAGAACTGCTAAGTGTGGTAAACACACGCACGCACACACACACACACACACACACACACACACACACACAGAGAATTCTGGGCTTCATTCAGAATTTCAGGAAGGTTTTCCTCATTCATGTTAATTATAATTTAGGGGTTTTGGAGGACTTTGGAGGAATTTTGGAGTGTATTATTTTGAAATCTTGAAACCAAAAGAAGACTTGGTTTTACTTTGTGATTCTTATGAGCATTTCTCTATCCCAGTAACTGTACTAGTTTTGAAGTAGACTAAAAAATATGAATCGTTAAAGTTTGAATTCAAAGGGCCAGAGTGATAGCACAGTGTATAGGGTACTTGCCTTGCATGTGGCTGACCTGGGCTTTATCCTTGGCTCCATATATGTTGTCCTGAGTCTCTTCAGGAGTGATTCCTGAGCACTGCTGGTGTCACCAAAAATAAATATATAAATTTTTGAACTCAGGAAAACTTTCAGTTAGGAGAATGTCCCATTTTAACTCAACTAGTCTGATAACCACTGCGGTTTAATTTTTACATCATCTGCCTGCCCAGAATTGATAAAGACCTCATAGGATAAAGATAAAAATCCTCCACAATAATTACCTGGCTATCTATGACAAGTGCAAGTTCTTGGGATTCCCAAACCTCTCATGCTTCTAATTGGTTTCTAGCAAACACTTCAGGTTCTGTAGTTTAATGGAATAAGAACTCAAGAAAAGTGTTGTGTTTAAGGTTAGGTTTCATTATATAAATGATATATGTAAGAGCAGATTTGGGGAAGAGCTTGTGGTTTCCATTGCTATATTGCTATAAAGTCAACACAAGCTTTGTCCAGAGGTTTTATGGAATTTCACCACCTATGTATGGCTGGAGTGATAGCACAGCGGTAGGGCATTTGCCTTGCGCACTGCCAGCCTGGCCAAGCCAGGTTCGATTCCTCTGCCCCTCTCGGAGAGCCCGGCAAGCTGCCGAGATTATCTTGCCCGCAAGGCAAAGCCTGGCAAGCTCCCCATGATGTATTCAATATGCCAAACACAGTAACAACAAGTCTCAAAATGGAGATGTTACTGGGCCTGCTCGAGCAAATCAATGAACAACAGGAGGAAAGTGACAGTGACAGGAAAGTGACCTATGTATGATTTAAAATCAAAGGGTACGTGATTGGACTGTCTCTATCCCTTTCCATAGAATCCTCCATTCTGCTCATCTTGGTTTATATTTCTGGTGACTAGTCTCCAATTTGATGATAATTGGGAGGACTACTAAAATTTCTCCTATTGATATAATGAAACTACCTTATTTAGAAAATTTCTAGCAAATCTAAGTTTTTTTCTACGAACTAGGATCGAGTACCCTAGGAAGATTGCTTTATATATGATAAAATACGAGTTTGTCAGCTAGGAACATTGATTTTTTTTTTTCAAAGCAGAGGAAGAATTCCAGATACCAATATATAAAAATGTGGAATAAAATGGCAATAAAATTTTGCATTTTCAAAAGGGTTCAAGATATAGTTCATGATACAGGAGATACAATGGTTCTGGGCCTAGAAAAATTTTCAAAAGAAATTTTAAAAGTTCTCATTTAAAAATTCTAAATTTTCTGTTCTACTACCCTTGAACTCTTTTTTTTTTTTTTTTTTTGGCTTTTTGGGTCATACCCGGCAAAATGCTCAAGGATTACTCCTGGTTCTGCACTCAGGAATGACTTCTGACTTCTGGCGGTGCTCAGGGGACCATATGGGATGCCAGGTTGGCTGCATGCAGGGCAAATGCCCTCTCCTCCAGCTCCAACCCTTGAACTCTAATCCATGGTTACTTAAAGAAGCATGTGTCTGGTGTTGGGGAGGGGGATTGTTGAAACAGGCTGGAGAAATAGTGGTCAGTTCATGACAGGCTTTGGGTCCGAGGTAACAGTCATGTACACATTTAGACCTTGTAATCTGTGTCTTTGAAAGTTTTCAAGCAGATTAGACAATAATATAATGAGTAGATAATGATTATAAGGAAATCCTATATACCCATTATAGTTAATACAGATGGCCAAATTTTTCTCATCTCTGAACCCCTTCAATTCTTCCACCCCCCACAAATTCATTATTTTGTGGCAGATCTTAACTATTAGATTGTTATTAGTACCATTAATTTTAAAAATAATTCCATGAATTAAGTTGTTTTGAAATAAAGTATTTCAGTATCAGATTACTTTATTGAACTAAAGTGTTGAAATAATGGAAGATTTTTTAATAATTGAAAAATTAAAAAGTCTCACCATCTTAGGTCTATTTCTACTTTAGAACAATAGGACATGATCAAAGTACTTACTTGCTGCCTTAGTCATTGCTTTACCTTCTGAGAAATCTTGGAAAAGTTTCAAACAGACATATGCCTTGAAAGATTTGCAGTATGGAATAGACTTGCTAATGGAATGCTTTTGAAGAGATGTCCCAAAGGTAGGGAAAGTAGTTAGAAATCTCACCATTGTTAGAGGTAGGGAGGCAGAGTTTCTGCCATTTAAGATTTAGAGAACAGATTAATCATAATGTGGAGAGGGTACATTGAAAATAAAATCTGAATACCAAATTTAGATGCCTCATACATCACTTAAAGTGACACAGGAATTTTAGATTATGAAGGTGATTGTTAGGGAGTAAAGAATTATTTGTTTGGATGTTTGGATTGTGTGATTAAGGTGAATATATTTAGTTGTTGAAGCCCTCACTGAAGTGGGTTAAATATAGATAAAGGGTTTTATAAATAGCAAGGATTTCTTCAGTTCTCAATTCTCAGCAAAGTTTCAGAATTCTCCAACTAAATTAAAGGAGACCAAGCTAGCAAACTGAAGCAAAGTTTTCTTTCAATTTTAAGTGTTTCTGAAGACTTCTTTTTAAGACAGCTTGGATCTTTCTGCGTTAAAGAATGGTTGGAGAATTCTAACAATTCTGATATGTTTCTGTAGGTTCACCTGTGGAGTTCATTCCATTTCCTTTTTAAGAGTGACTGTGTGTCTGTGTGCATGTGTGTCTATGTGTGTGTGCAGGGTGGGGTGGTGGTAATAGAGAAATTGCCAGAGTAATAGTGGATCCAGATGCCACTCTTGATAACAGTCAAACTGACCTGTTGGGTCAATTCAAGGGCTACAGGATTTTATGCTGGTTGGACCTGTGCCATACCCAGCCAGTACTGCTGCGGGGACCTTGTATTGCAGGAGATCCAACGAAAGTCCTGTGCATGCAAAGCATGTTCCTCAATTCCTGTGCGCTCTACCTGGCCCATTTACTTTTAATAGTAATCCTATATTTTAATATATACTAATACAATGACAGTGTTTTTGTTTGTTTTGTTTTTTTTGGGTCAAACCCAGTGATGCACAGGGGTTACTCCTAGCTCATGCACTCAGGAATTACTCCTGGCAGTACTTGTGGGATCATATGGGATGCTGGGAATCAACCTACATTGGCCACATGGCAAGGCAAACACCCTACCCACTGTGCTATCGCTCCAGCCCCCACAGTGCCAGTTTTAAGAAGAAACTCACAAATGAACAGCTTTACAAGATTTGCCATTTAGTAAGTGCTTGATAAAAAGTAGCACTGTCCTCCCATTGTTCATCAATTTGCTCAAGCGGGAACCAGTAACGTCTCCATTGTGAGACTTGTTACTGTTTTTGGCATATCAAATACACCACAGGGAGCTTGCCAGGCTCTGCCTTATGGGCGACATACTCTCGGTAGCTTGCCGGGCTTTCCGAGAGTAGCGGAGGAATCATTGGATTTAAATCTAAACCCTTGAAAAGCTTAAACTAATATGTTTCAGATGGGAACTTTCCATCCATTATTACCTTTAATATTGCCATAAGTAGGAATTCTGGAAGTAATTGTAGAATAAATTAATATTTATGCACTTTATTTTAGTTGCTTTGTTTTAATGGATTTTTTCCACTCTTAGTTTGAGATGGTATCAACATCCTACCGAAGAAGAATTAAGAATTCTTGCTGGAAAGCAGCAAAAGGGAAAAAGCAAAAAAGACAGGTAAGTCATTTTCATTTACATATTAGTTTTTAAAGATTTAACTGTTTGACAGAATTATTGTATAGAAAAGTATTTGTTTAATGTCAGAGGAAAATTTACCATTTGTTGTAAGCTGTTGATACATTTGATGGAGTCCAAAGTATAAAATGATATATTAATCATCCTTTAAGTTGTGGTAGTATAATATAATAGGTAAGCACAGAAAAGTGATTCACTTAAAGGACAGTTAACTTTATTCTTTATGATAAATTAGGAAAAAATATAGCCATATTAATTTTTAATACTAACATTAGTCAGTCATATATTTACCCTACAACTCATATACAGGTATCAGTTGGCTAGGGTTCTTCTCTAGGTTTTACTCCACCTAGCAAATTCACCGTTATTGTCCTCTTTTTCCTCATTATTTACTTTTTAGCTCCTTTTTAGCTGCTGGCTATTAATTCAGTATGGAAAGATTATCAATAAAAGTGCTCCTCAGTGATCTTCATTGATTTCTCAAGAATAACCTCTATGAGTTGACCTTATTTTTCTCAGCGTTTAGGACCTGTAACTATGATATTAACATACTGAATATCAAAGACAACATATTAATACTGAATCTTATACATACCACCATAAAAATTAATGTTAATCTAGGCCAGTGCTTTGAAAAAATTACTATTTAGCATAAAGTTAATAATTTCAATATTCTCACTTCTAATTTAACTACTGTTCTGTTTTTCTTGCCATTCATTACAAGCACTGAAGCACATTGGAATTTTAGGTGTAATTCATCCTTTGTATTCTGAAATTATCTTCTTTTCTAAAAGTACTGCTGCCTTAACAATGTTCAAAACAATTTCTAATTTTACTTTTCTGTACTTTTCTGTACTTTTTTTTTTCTGTACTTTTCTGTCCTTGAAATTGATATCAGCTATTGACATTTTATTATTGATGAAACGATAGATAAGAAATGATAAATTTCTCAAGCTCACATAGTCAAAATTTTGCTTCAGATTTTTTTTTCTATTTTCCTTTTTAACAATTCCATTTTACCTATTCATGGCTATTGTATTCAGCATTTGTAGAATTTAGTCATGTTTACTATTTTATGATATTTGAAATCATTTTTTGTTGGGTGGGGTCAGCATTAGGGTCTACTCCTAGCAGTGCTCAAGGGAACACCACTATTGCTAGGGATTGAACTGGGTCCACAGCATTCAAGACAAGTGCCTTAACTTTCGCTCTTTTTTTTTTCTTTTTTTGGCTTTTTGGGTCACACCCAGCAATGCACAGGGGTTACTTCTGGCTCTGCACTCAGGAATCACTCCTGGCAGTGCTCAGGGGACCGTACAGGATGCTGGGAATTAAACCCAGATCGGCCGTGTGCAAGGCAAACGCCCTACCTGCTCTGCTATCTTTCCAGCCCTGCCTTAACTCTTCTACTGTCTCTTTGGCTCCAAACATTTGAATTCTTACATGAAATGTGTTAGTAGTCTTATTTTTACAATTTATGTGCTTTAAATTTACAAAAGAATGTATTAGCAACACTCATATATATTACTATGAGATGCTTTTTTAAAAAATTTTTTTAAAAATTGGATATTCATGAGATAGACCATCACAAAGCTGTTTATGATTGGATTTCTATCATACAAGGATCCAGCACCCTTCCCTCCACAAGTGTACTTTTCCCACCAGCATCCCTCAGCCCCCAACCCCCAGCCTCCCCCTATCTGAGGTACTTTCCTTCTTGCTCTCTCTCTTCTTTTCCTTTTGTGCATTATGGTTTGCAATACCTGTGCTAAAAGTCATGTTGTATGGTCAGGGCATTCAGCATTTTTTATCAGGATTGTAAGACTGGAGTAGCTTTTCAGTTGGGTGGAAGCTTTGGGGTGTGGAGTGCCTGCTGAGGCTTCCAGAAGTACAGGGAAGTGGGGGGAGTTAGTCCACCCTGACCCCCGAGAAAGCCTGGACATTATGAAATAACTTTTTATTGATGTGAATCAATTTTTTTTATCAGGGTTTTCACTTTATTCAAGCATGTATACAATGGGGCCTGAGCCATAGAACAGCAGGTAGGGCATTTGCCTTGCATACAGCTGATCTGGGGTCAATCCCCAACATCCCATATGGTCTTCCAAGCACCACCAGGAGTAATTCCTGAGTGCAGAGCCAAGAGTAACCCCCCTCAAAAAGAATATATACAAACTTGTTTGTTTATATTGTGCTAACAGCCAATTTTAATTTTTTTTCTATTTGTCTCTAAAAATTTAATTTGAAAGTAATCAAATTTAGATGAACCTTGTAATATTTTTTGTTGGTTTCCTCCATCTTCTTAAAAGAAACTTCAGGATAGCCTTTCATGTATCTGACTTTCTCATATACATAAATTTTAATATATTTCTTAAACTGTTTATAGTACAGGTCTGTTTAAGGTCAACATGTGTGTGTTCATATGTATTTCAAAGGATATTTGTATTTTTTAAATTTGCTTTTACTGTTGTGCTAAAAAGAGGTATTAAGTTATCTTTAAATACATAAGAGGTAATAAGAGAAATGGGATGAAATGATAAGGTGGCAGTCAAGATTTTTATTTCTGTCAAAATTTAGGTAATTCCCAAGTAATCTGTATATTCCCGTAAGATTACACATGTATTTTCATTCCTTTAAAAATATCTACCTAAATTTTATCAAAATTTTTGAAATTCTATTTTTCCACTGTGAAAGTTAAACCCTACGTTGTAATTAGTTTGATTCAAGTATTAAATAACAGTGTTGGTAACTTGCTTTTTGTGTCACTTTTTGATTTTTAGGAAATACAATGGTCACATTGAAAATAAGCCTCTGACCATTCCAAAAGATATTGATCTCCATCTAGAAACAAAATCAGTTACAGAAGTGGATGCTTTAGGTAAGGGAAGTCTTGATCAAGTGTTCTGTAAATCTTGGCTTTATATTATGCTAGTAAAAGTACTCTTACCTATTGTTGCCAGACTTTTTTTTGTTTTTTAATCAATAAATTCATTATGTAGAATTTGAACCTAAGAATTTAGGTGCTCAAAATAACTATTTGAAATGAGTTTTTTCATTCACCTTCCTTGTAGTAAGCATTATTTTTTTCTGTTATTCAAAGGAGGCAAATTACACAAGCTTGTTACACAGTTTTTATTAATGTTGAGAACGTAGTTTCATTTTTCATTATATACTGCATATATTATATACTGTATATGGTTTTTTGGCATTATATACTATATATAGTTTTTTCCTCTATTTTTATAATTGTGTAATAACTATAATGACTTTAGATTTATCTGAAATTATCTTAACCCTTGAGGAAATAGAAGGCATTTAAAATGCTGGATTCAGACCTGACTTTATATCAGAATCACTTGAATAGCTTTTTAAAAATAAATATTCCTTTACCTATTCTTAGAGATTCAGTGCATCTAGAGTGGGTGCTGGGAATTTGCATTTTTAAAAAGATTCAAGTGTTTCTGATATTTCATTGGGCATCAGCTCTGTTTATAAATAAAGTGCTAAAGTCACATTTTTTTAAATGTCAGTTTTGTAATATTGTAGAGTCCTCATATGAATTGGGCCTACTTGATGTAAATTAAACTGCAGATAAACCTTAATATATGTATCTAATAGCTGATACATTATTTTGTAATGCAAAGTAGTATCAGTATACATCTAGAGATCATGTGAATCTATGGAAAAATGTCCTAGGAATAATATGATCAATTGCCATTAAGAATGTCATCTGTTCTTAACTATTTGAATATTATTTGTCATTCTCATTTTTTAAAAGTTTATTTTTGATGCAAAATTTAGGACAATTAGGAAGTAACTTTGATATTTGGAGTAGTTCTTACTCTTATTTATCACTCAACAGTATCTTGTCTAAGTATTCATAAGACATAAGCAAACATGAATGTGTATGTGTGCGCGCGCGTACGTGTGTGTGTGTGTGTGTGTGTGTGCACTCTCCATAATTTTGTGATTCAGGTTAATAATTTTTTATTTTTACTGTTAATATGAACTATTGGTTAGCTAGATTAACAGTAATTGCTTGAAGTTGAGTATATCTTGTTTATATAGTTATAATGTTGTTGTTTATATATTTATAATGTTGTTATGAACCTCAGAATTATTTGAGGTATGTAAGTAATCATCACATCCTGCTAGCGACCACCTTTCCCCCTCACTCGCAAAGAAACAGGAGTTAAATAGCTTGGCCAGAGTTACATGCCAAATATGATAGCTAGTAAGTGAGAACTTGGGATGTTGTAGTATATTCTAAAAATGGAAATTAAAGCTTTAGCATATAGCTTACTTATTATTTTGTTTCATTTTACATTAAAATATTTTGGTACCTGTGCTTAAACCCAGGGCCTCATACATGCAAAGTCTGTGAATATGTCTGGGCTACACCCCCAACTCCCAATATGACAGTTTTGACAACTAATTGCAAATTGTGCTAATTTTAACAGCTGACCACATAATAACTGAGCATTCCAGTTAATCACAATAACCCCGGAGATATTTTATTTATACTTCAGTAATCTTTTTGTGAAGGGAGTAAATGTGTTTTTTCTTTGCGTTTTATTTTTTTTTAATCATTTGTGAATGGAGTGAGGGTGTGGCTATTCGGTACTCAGGAGTACCATTTTCCTACCATTATTATGTATGATATTATAGTATTATGTATGGTATTATTATGTATCATATTGAAAATTAAGAAATACAATACTTGGTTTAAATTTATAGCTAAGTATAATTTGTACTTTTGCTAGTTGTATTAGCAGTATACAAATATCTATCTTGAAATAACAATCTATTTTGTTATGAGGTCCTCTTAAAGAACACACAAATATTTAAATGTCATTTCTCTGTTCTGGCTTCCCTGGAGGAGCCCTGTGTGAGTGGAGCAGGCATGAAGAGTTAAAAACACTAAGTTTGTTATTAATAGAAATTGCAAATATAATAATATCTTGTTATCTCTCCATTCTTTTTCATCCATCAATCCAAGAAGTTCCCTCCATTTCTCTAGAAAATTTCCTTCATTTCTTCCACAAAGTTATTTTGAATGACTAACTAGATGATTTTAAAGGGAGGTGAAGTCATCAAGGGGTGGGTATCTTAAAACCACTCTAGAATAAATCTTTTAGTAACTATTTAGTCTCTCACTATTCACACACACAGTATTTAATTATTTTTTTTTCTGAATGTTAACATAACTTGAAGTAGTTACAGAATTTTTACATCATAAACAAAATTAGGAATTTTTCATGTTACCCTCATAGTTAATGTTTCATTAGTTTGTTTTGGTATTTTTAAGCAAGTCTTTGAGTATTTTATTTTTAAAGTACTTTTTCTAGGGACCTAAGTGATAATACAGTAGGTAGGATGCTTGTCTTGCATGCTACTGACTCAATCCCCAGCACCCCGTATGGTCACCTCAGCCCACCAGGAGTAATGCCTGAACACAGAGCCAGGAGTAAGCCCTAAGCCCCACCAGTTGTGCCACTTCCCCTGCCCCCTCCCATTTTTTCTGTAAATGTGTGATTTTTTTAAAATATCCTTAAGTATTGCATATTAACAATATGCAATAGAAAAATAGAAATTTTTCCATAGCAGTGTAGATCAGTTTGTTATATGCCATTGAAAACATAGGAATAGATCTCATGTCCATGATTTATTTCAACAGTTTTAGAAGGCCCTCTACAAAAATGATGTTGCTATTTTGGATTAAACTTTGGACAGAATAGGAGGTGGAAGGAAGACTGAGTTACTCACTTGCAGAGAATGCTGATTTCAGTGTAACGCCTTAGAGAGGGAATTGTTTGAAGGAGTATCAGTTTTTAGTAGATGTTAAGCATTTTAGGAGTAGAAGGAGTAAAAAGTTGCTTATTTATTATTTTAACCTGCAAAGCTTGTTAAAATTTTGTGAATTATTTGATTTACAAAATCACCAATCCACTGATAGTGTAGCTAATAGTAGTAATAGTTAAACTTTTCACAAGAAATGTAGAATGAAATTAGGCTATATTTTATATTATAGCCTATATTATGACCTTAAGCTATCATCTAGCTTAGATTATTTTTTACCTTGACATATAATTTCGTGAATAAAATAGCTAATCATCTAAGAAAATTCAGTTCACTTTGTAATCATTTGAAGTACCATTTCAGGTAATTTTTAAAATCATTTCAGGTTTGATTATTTAATTTGTGAAGTATTAAACTTTAGTTTGGGATGCTAAAATTCTCACTCTGCTCCCTGCATTTGAAATTCTCATGTTTGCAAACTTTTATGTGTCACATCAACAAATAAAAAAGTGGCTTGTTTCAATGATCAGAAAATCCTCCTAAGCTGTTTCTGAAAGTTTAAGTAAAATCTGTCATAACATTTATTTTTTCAGCGTTACATTACTTTCCAGAATATCAGTGGTTAGTGGATTTCACCGTGGCTGCTACAGTTGTTTATCTAGTAACTGAAGTCTACTACAGTTTCATGAAGCCCTCACAAGAGATGAATATCAGCTTAGTCTGGTGCCTGCTTGTTTTGTCTTTTGCAATGTATCCTTCCCAACGTCATTAATGCTAATGTATAAATTTGTTTTTTGCAGCTAACATCATTAGAACTAATCTCTGATTAGGAAAAGATTTTGGACCATTAGAGAATTTTTGTTATTGTTGATGTGATCTTTGTTGAAAACTTTTTCCCAAAAAAGTGGTAAATGTTCTTAAAAGCAAAATATTATGACAGATGGCAGTTTCTTTTGACATTGGAGCCATAAGGACCTCTTTTAGGTATTTCTTTGATTTTTTGCATCAGTTATTTAAAGAGTATGTGGTTGGGCAGAGACAGTATGGGAGGTAAGGCATGTGGTTGACTTGAGTTATGCTGAAACTTAACTAAATTAGAGACACGTAGTTCTTTACAGAAATTTTCTTTTTTAAATTTTATTGTGATTTTCTTTTCTCCTTTTTCTTTTTCTGGAGTGGTTGTTTAGATACTCAGGTATTGAATCACTTTAGTCTGGTTCTCTGAATCTCTCATGTATTTTTGTATTTTTTAATTTTTTATACTAGAAGTTACCAGCTAACTTACCTTCCTCTCTCCCTCCCTCATCCTCATACATGCAAGGCACATAATCTATTGCCGAGCTGCATCCTTGACCCTCTTTAACTTTGAGTTTTAATAAGTTCCTCCTGAAACCTTCCTCTTAGTCATAAAATCTATTTGACTGCTTTATGATTACATTGTCTTTTCTGTTATTTGATATTTTAAGAGTTCTTCCTGTTGTTTCTCTGAGTTGTGTCTGTTTGGTTCGTTTGACCATCTTTCTTTTTAAAGACTTGCCTTGGAGAGTTCTGGTGGCCTCTATTTAGCCAAATGTTACCCTTTGGGGGAGTACTGCATCAAAATCAAATTATTTCTTGGTTTTCTTTACTTTTCTTCTGTGCAGCCAGTTACTTGCTTTCTCTTCTCAAATTTTACTGCTTTGTATTTTCTCGTTCACTGTACTTATGTACTTAAATATATATATATATCTTTACTGTCTTTTTGGTGGGGATTAAGGTATGACTGAAAGCAGTTTAATGGACTCAGTTTACTGGTTTTATACAATTTGTTGGTTTTGTTTTTCCTTCCTTGAGATTCTCAGTTTTGTCTTTCTCAGAAACTTTTTTTTAATTGGTTCACCCTGAGATACAGTACAAAGCTTTCATGATTGAGTTTCAGTCATAAAATGATTGAACACCCATCCCTCCACCAGTGTACATTTTCTACCACCAATATCCCCAGTATCTCTCCTGCCACCTCTACCCCACCCCACCCCCTGCCTCTGTGGCAGACAATTTTCGTCTAACTCTCTACTTATGGGCATTATGGTTTGCAATACAAATACTGAGAGGCCATCATGTATGGCCCTTTATCTACTTTGAGCACACATCTCCCATTCCGAGTGATCCCTGCAACCATTATTGACTTAGTGGTCCTTCTCCCCCAGCTCATGAGGCAGACTTCCAAGTGTGGAGCAGTATTCTTGGCCCTTGTCTCTACTGTCCTTGGGTGTTAGTCTCATATTATGTTATTTTATATTCCACAAATGAGTGCAGTCATTTTATGTCTGTCCCTCTCTTTCTTACTCATTTCACTTATGATACTCTCCATGTCCATTCATTTGGCATATTTCATGAGTTCATCTTCCAAACGGCTGTATAGTATTCCATTGTGTAGATGTATCAGAGTTTCTTTATCCAGTTCTCTGTTCTTGGGCACTAGGATTGTTTCCAGATTCTGGCTATTGTGAAGAGTATTGCAATGAACATACAGGTGCATATGTCATTGCACCTGTGGTGTCTTGCACCCCTGGGATATATTCCTAGAAGTGGTATTGCGGTGTCATATGGAAGCTCAATTGCTAGTTTTTTGAAGAATGCCCATATTGTTTTCCAGAAAGGTTGGCATTCCCACCAACAATTATAGAGTCCCTTTCTCCCAATGTCCGCGCCATCACTGGTTGTTTCTGTTCGTTTTGATCTGTGCCAATCTCTGTGGTGTAAGATGATAGGCTCATTATTGTTTTGATTTGCATCTCCCTGATGATTAGTGATGTAAAGCATTTTTTTCATGTGCCTTTTGGCCATTTGTGGGGTTTTTTTTTTTTTGATTAGTGAGACATCATGAGGGTACAGTTGTAGATTTACAATTTTTTGTGCTTGGGTTTCAATTATACAATGATCAGATACCCATCCCTCCACCAGTGCCCATTTCCCACCACCATGGGAATTGTGTTTCTTTTTTGAGGAAGTTTCTGTTCATTTCTTTTCCCCCTTTTCATGGGGTTGGAGGTTTTTTTTCTTGTACGTTTCTACTAATGTCTTTTATATCCTGGATACTAACCCCTTATCTGATGGGTATTGGGTAAATAATTTTTTCATTCAGTGGACTCTTTATATTTTGGTACTGTTTTTTTTTGAGGTGCAGAAACTTCTTAGTTTAATGTAGTCCATTTGTTTGTTTTTTTTCCACTTACGTGGTCAGTGGTGTTTTCATCCTTAAAGATGCCTTTAGCTTCAATGTCATGGAAGGTTCTGCCTACATTTTCCTCCATAAACCTTATAGATTTAGGTCTGATATTGAGGTTTTTAGTCCACTTTGATCTGACTTTTATGCCAGGTGACAGAGGTTGGAGTTCATTTTTTTGCCAGTAGCTGTCCAGTTTTCCCTCCCATAAACTTTTTTTTAATTGATCACCGTGAGATAGACTCACAAAACTTTCATGAGTGAGTTTCAATTATACAATGATTGAACACCCATTCCTCCACCAGAGTACATTTTAACTGAAATGTCCAGTTTCTTTGTGCTCAGAAGCCACTCCTGGTTATGTGCTTAAGGAACCATATTCAGTACCAGTGATCACAGGAGGGTCTGTTGTTCAAGGCAGGTGCCTAATCCCTGTACTCTCTCCAGCTCCTTTCTCTTGAATTCTTAAATCTCTGTACTCTCTCTTTATCCCAATATCTTTTTTATTTCTAAGGATATTATAGTATTGTCTTTTAACTATTATTTATTCTGGGGGTTGTGGGGGCAAACCCAGCGTCTCACACTTGGTAACCCATGTTCTCTCACATCTTGGCCCTATCTTTTTTTTTTTTTAACTTTTAATCACTGTCATGTTGGAATTTTCTTAGATGTCTTATAAACTTTGCTTATCTTTTTTTTTTAATTTAAGAATGCTCTAAGAAAATTGAAAGTTTTGTGCAAATGACTGTCCAGTGTCAGTTTGTGACCCTTTTGTGGATGATTGAATACGGATCTTGTAGTATCCTTATGTAACATAAATATCAGTGACTTCAGGTTGTTAGGCCAATCAATTCTCTCCAGACAAGAGTCTATTCTTCCATCTGTGGGTGTAATTCTCACAGCCAGTATTTTGAAAGCCAAGGAGGTTCAGACACAGGATCTAGCCTTGAGCATAAATTCAAATATATGTGTATATTTTTACCCCATTCCTTGTTTTTATTGCCTAATGAAATTAGATGTTTTCTCTTTTTATTTTCATGTCTTTATATGTAAGAATTCAAGATTTGGTAGAGTTGGTGAAGGGCTATCACCAAATATGTGTGATTAGGCAAGACAAAGAAACTAAGCATATAATAATGAAGAGCATATAATAGTAAAGACATTAAACCGATCATCTATTTCATTCACATTGAACTCTGCTTCTTTCATAATGCTATGCCAGTTTTTGACTGTTCCAAGGGTTCTATATGAATAAATTGACTTTATTACCGGGTTCTTCCTCTTCTAGAGCTAGTATATTAGAGGAGTCTGAAAACAAAATCAGTTATTGCTTGTCCCTCTGTTTTCTCATCTTTAAAGTTTTGTTGCCATTTCTTTTTCCATTCTTTATTTTTAAGAGTATTCACTTCATGTGTGGTTTATTAAGTCAAATTTGGGGTGTGAAGCACAATAAATAAATAGATTTCTTACATATTTTGTGTTCAATTGGAGACTGCTACAATTTGACATTCAACACCACTGTGTGATCTCTCTGTTGGCTTATCACAATTGATTTAAATATAATTCAGTGCAGAATGCCCTGAATAAAGCTTACAGGTCAGCATCTTCACAAAGAATAAATTATAAATACTGACATGTTTTCACTTGAAAGGCATTCTTATATAGCTGGTATGGAACTAATATAAAGAATAAGTTAGTCCAGCTTTTAAATAGTACTATTAATGGGGCCAAAGAGATAGCGTAATGAGTAAGGTGCTCGCTTGCCTTGTGTTTGCATGATCTCTGAGCAGAGAGAAGTAAACCCTGAGTAATAAAAGTTTAGCCCTAAAAATTTTATTTTATTTTATTTTATTTACAGGATTTAGCATTAAATATATGAAATGCCTTTGAGGGAGAATTAAAATCCCTAGAAATAAAGTGTGAGGGCTGAGCTTTAGTACAGTTAGAAGAGTATTTGCTTTTGCATATTTGATCCTGGCATCTCTTATGATCTCCCTGAACATCTCCAGAAGTAATTCCTAAGTGTGGAACCAGGTGTAACCCCAGGGATCACTGGGTGTGACCCAAAAATCTCTCCCCTCTTCCCTAGAAAAAGAGAAAGTTGAATGAAACACAGAAAATATTGCAGTAAAACGGTATTGATACTTGTGTTTTGTTACTTTTTCTATACTTTGGAGTTCATGATTTATAGATGAATTAAAATCTTACAGTATTTATGTAGGAATGCATATTCTTGAAATCCTGTTCTATTTAATGTAATGCTGCTCTTGTTACCACAGACATTAGAAAAATATGCTTAATAGCTACTCAAGTTATTGTTTATGTGAATACATTTTATCTTTCATTTCACTATTAGTGCTCAATAGTGTGAGAGTAAAGGTCTCACACAGTCTTCAGCACTGAACTGGCTGTGCTTAGTTTAAAGTAGTGCACTTATGAAAGGCGCCAAACAATAGCATCCCTGCAGGAACCTCGTTGCAGGCTGTCTCCCCATCCCAATAAAGACTGAGTTCTGAAGGACTTTAGAATCTAAGCTATTTTCAAG